GACTGGAGTTCAGACGTGTGCTCTTCCGATCTTAAAATAGAAAACGTAAACGTTTTAATTTTTTAATTATAATAAAATAAATCAAGCATATATCGTGAGATAAACAGTAATATTTTCAGAAATTTTGGCGGTAGATAGAGATGACACGTTGTTATAAATGTAAAATAAATATTGAAGAAATCGTTTAATTTCTTTGCGCATCTACTATTATATGTTATATATATAAGTAATGGTTCGGATTGTAAATGTATAAACTTAAATCATATCTTTATTTTTTAAATAATTTTTACGAATAGATTCTGTTTTATCGATATTCAAATAAAATATAGATAAATTTTTAAATTTTCTGGGCTAAATAATATTTAAGATATCTCGATCACGACTTTTGTTGTATAAATTGTAATGCCATGAAGAATAGTAGCATTCAAATTTCAATACTTTTCAAGTGTGGCAGCGATGAAGGTATACATATTATTGTTAGTTGCAATTGTTGCAATTATTATGAGCTCCAGTAGTATGGCTGAACCTACAGCCGATAAACCTGGGCAGGCTAAGGTATAAAAACATTGTTTATAATAAAAATTGTTTAATCAAGCATTCTTAATATTTTAAATTTTACATTTATTTTATTTTTTAACCATTCTATATTCATATTTTATATTTTATTATTTATTTATGTTTTATCTTTATATCTGCTCGTTTGATTTGATCAATTATTGATAATTGACACTGATGCAAATGTGGGTTTAAAATTAATAATTAAAAAAAAAATTTTTTTAGTCAAGAATAAAATAAAAATATACATATTTTATAAGATTGTATTTCTTAAAATTGCAGTGCGTAACATAAATAAAATTAGTTAAAAAAGTTATAAAATGTTAAAAAAAATTAAATTTTTTTTAAACATCTATGTAATAAAATATTATTCTTTATGCACAATATATAAAATTGTACAATATTAAAATTAAAATTTTGTTATTTTCTTGTTTTAGAAAATCGGCATATTTGACCAAATAGATGCAGCATGGAATTGGTTAATGAAAAAAATGGAGGGCTAACTGCATCATAATTAAATAATAACAGAATTTATGTCACACTATATTCAATAAGTTTATCAGCTAATAAACATTCTGTAATAATATTACTTACTATGTAAAAAAATTACATATAATTTTCAAAAATTTTTAAAAATTATGTAAAATATAATTATATTGTATTGTAATATAATTGTATTATAATTGTATTGTGATGCATTAAATTACGTCGTGTATTAATAAATATCAATGGTACACAAGTATAAACCGCAATTAATTCCTTATTATTTATTCAAGTGCAAAATTTGAGTTACAGTACTTTTTATCCTATAAAACACTATAG